CAGACGCGGATCGCGATTTCGATCTTTTTGGATCTCATCAGCGCGTCGCAGGCAGCTCCGACAGAACACAGACCAACCTTTACCTGCTGTCTTAACAGCGCGTTTTAGAAAATACCACAAATGGCGTGGTGAGCGCTATCTGTAGTACGATGCTACATTTTAGGATTACGTATGCTCCAGCAAGGTCCATTTAAAAATATGGATATCTACTTGCTGAAACGATTATGGTAACGTGTCTATCACGTTGAGGTGAGCTACGCCGGGATTCGTTTCAGCAAGTAGATATCCATATTTTTAAATGGACCTTGTTGGAGCATACGTAATCCTAAAATGTAGCATCGTACTACAGATGGCGCTCACCACGCCATTTGTGGTATTTTTTGTTTTTCCGTTGTTTGCTTTTGGTAGGTATTGGTGGTGGTGGTAATAACCAAAGATAATATATGTTGCTAGGCTTTAATGATTAACACAGTTCTATAGTTCTTCTAGTTACGCATTACTGCTCATTTGGTTTTTGATTGAAAGATTAGCCTGTTAAGTTTAGTTGCTCTTTTTTGTAAATAAATTTTTGTGTTTGATTTGAAGTTATTTTTATTAAACACTTCGTAAACATTTTTGAGAAAATATACGCTCGTGTTTTCACGGCAACAATGATCATGCTTCATAAGCAGTACAGACAGAGTGAAAAAACTTAGCCGAAAAAGATCAGGCTCGGCTTAAAACTGCCTGGTTGGGATTACATCTTTAACCAAGTATTTTTGCTTTCCTAAATTTCTGAGAATGTTGAACTTTCTATAAAGTCCGATACTGAGAGTTAATTTAATTTTAGTTAATCTTTTTTTAAAATGGTTCTTTTGTTCTGTTATGTTTACTCCTGAACAAATATACTTTTCCAGTTTATTAAAAAAAATCGTACAAGGGGGGAAGAGTGTTTGGTCAATTGGTGGAATTATTAAGTTTGCAAATCTGGATCGTATAATTTAAAGGAAACATCAAAAACTGTTGCTAGAAAATTGAACTATTGATGTTTGGAGTAACTATCATTTTAAGTTACAAAAAATTCTGACACGCGTTCTCGTCAACTCGGTGGGTATTTTCCAGAAGTAACAATTAGCCACTTACTCGTTAGATTAAAATTAAATAAACACTTAATTGGTAAACATTAAGAAACGGAGATAATGTGACAAACTTAATCAGCTTTTATCGTCAACTGGAATCAAAATAATTCTTGTTTTTTCAGAAAGAATAGTATGAGGTACTTAACCTGATATACACATGTTATGCGTGGCAGATACTCTAGAATTATAATAATTTCTGTAGATGAATGAATTGATGAAGGAAGAAAGATAAAAAAAGTGAGAGAGAGAGGACAGATAGAAAATGGTTGAGATAAGTTTTCGCAATCTCAATAGTTCTTCAAAGTGACTTTTATTAGATAAATTCACCAGAAGGCAAACTAATCGAATCTACCCCGTCAGCTTCCTCCCTTTCCCTCTCTGCATGCAGTAAGTAAGAGGGAAAGAACTATCCACTAACACATTCGATTTTTTGGCTAGCGTTGCTATACATAGGAAAATTTCCCTGCCAGCTTAAGAAAAAGGGGATTTTTAATTATTTAATTTCTAATATTGCAATGTTCGTGGGTTTAACAAAATTTACTTCTAAGACTGATAACAAAAACTATTTATTTACACTAATTCTTAATATATCACTATTCACTGCGCTATTTATGTCACTTCTATCACTGTCAATTTATTTATGGATTCACTTCTGCAACTGTCAATTTATTTCTCTTCTTTCTCGGTCATCGTCTCTTCCTTTAAATACTCTTTTGTTTCCTTTCTGGAACCCTCTAGAAACATCCGGATTGTTTAGTATTTCTTTGAACTGTTTAAGTGCTTTCCCAGAACGCAGGTACGACACACATTTACACATACGGCGCACATGAATAAAGGCGCCCGCGGCAAATCGATAAGTCGATCACGCACACGTGCGCCCGATCGCATACAAACACGCTCGTGCTCGCTACAATATAATTTAATTTAATTTGTGC